GCTCTCACCCTAAGAAGCTCTCACCCTCTCATCCTCAATCATCTCAGAGAAATACAATATCAGTATGGACGTAGCCTAAACATTGGGGTGAACCACGATACATTATGCATTATTTACTTTCTTGCAGATTCACGATTGGATTTACGTTGTTCTAAGACCCCTCTGGTTTTATGCATTAACATTTGGCATCGTCTGTAGGAATCGACACGAAAAGTTATGTCGGTTCTCTCTCAATTTTTCACCTCCACCGTGAATCTGCAGAAACCCAAGAACCAAACAACCTAACACCCACACTCAGAGACACACCTATTCAATCGACAAAGGAGAGAGAGAGAAAGAGAGAGATAGAGGTTCATTGAGAGAAGGTAACTTCTCTGCAACAGTTAACAGAAACACAGTACACAGAGACAGAAACTGAGAAGAAAAAGGGTTCATGCTTTGATCATTTAATCCGTCAGCAATGGCAGCACAAAAGCAATCAGAGGAAGCCATAACCTTCAACCAGACTGTTGACAGGGAGGAAGAAGAAGAACATGCAGCAGATGAGAACTCTGGTTTTAACCTTAAAAGCTTCATCTGGCATGGCAGATCCATCTACGACGCCTGGTTCAGCTGCGTATCGAACCAGTTTGCTCAAGTTCTGCTGACTCTGCCCTACTCTTTCTCCCAACTGGGAATGCTCTTGGGAATCATATTCTAGGTTTTCTACGGAATCATGGGGAGCTGGACTGCTTATCTGATCAGCATTCTCTACGTCGAATACCGAAGACGAACAAAGATAAAAAAAATGTCAGCTTCGATCACTGGAAGATCGACAATTCTACTCGCGTTTTTCTGAGTAGCGACGTCAACAGCAAGAAAAAGAATTTCAGCAGCGCCATGCCCTTCGATTTCGTCCAATTTCATGGCTCTTCGCTCCCCTTCCTCGAGGCTGTTGCGGCCAGAATTGAGCTTTCTTCAACCGTTCCACACTGCCATTGCGTCCGCTTGCCTTATCTCCAAGCTCCCCGCCCTGGCCACCTCATCCGAAGGTAATGCAGTATAGCTCTTGCTTTGGGTTTTACAACGACTTTCCGGGAAAATCCTGCTTGAATTTTCCAAGAAAATTCCAGCTCAACATCCACTACATTCAAAGATCTAGAAAGGGACATTGCTCTACCTCGTCTCCGGCTTCCTCTGGCCATGTCTTGGTGCCGTGCTCTTCTAACTGTTTCTGAGTACATGGTTGAAAATGGCTGGGCAAAGTGCTTTAGTTCAAAATTCCAGGATCCTGCGAAGAGCTTCAACTTTTCTGTCTCTTTTGTCTCTCCGTGGGTTTAAAGGCAGAGGGAATAGAATAGAAAAAAGAAAAAGAAAAAGGGAGACTGATATTGGTATGCTTTTGCTTTTGCCCGGCGATGATTTCCATTAATTCTCTGTGATTAAATGGATCAGGTGCATGCAAGCACATGTGGGTTGATGACCTCTAAAGAAAGTGGTCGCAGAGCTCATGAGTGATGACCTCTAAAGATGCTTTTTACAAATGGACAACAACGCAGAGATAGAGACAGAGAGGAAGGCACAGTGGGAAACAAAAGCAGAAAGCAAAAGCAAGGAATAAACACCCACACTGCAAAAGTAAGGAGTAAACACCCACCAGAATGATGTGATTTACTTTTCTTGTTTTTTGAATGATGTAGTTTATTTTTCTTATCTTTCAAAGACATCAGTATAAACCCTATTAGAGGGTAAAAAAAAAAAAAAAAAAAACGAAAAGCCCAAAATAATGGGCTGGAGTGTTATGTGGAGGGTGAATGCCCATATGCCCAAAAGAGCCAGGTCCTTTATTATCACCAACCAGGTGATCAAAAGTACTCCTAGTACTGCAAAAAATTATTCGGTAGCCTGCCGCTATTATCACCAACCAAGTAATCAAAAATACGTCCAGTACTACAAAAAATTATTCGGCAGCCTGCTGCTATTATCACCAACTAGGTGATTAAAAATACACCAGTACTCTAAAATTATTCGGCAACCTACCGCTATTATCACCAACCAGGTGATCAAAAGTACGCCCAGTGCTCCAAAATTATTTGGCAACCTGCCGTTATTATCACCAACCAGGTGATCAAAAGTACGCCCAGTACTCCAAAATTATTCGCAACCTGTCGCATTATCACCAACCAGGTGATCAAAAGTATGCCCAGTGCTCCAAAATTATTTGGCAACCTGCCGTTATTATCACCAACCAGGTGATCAAAAGTACGCCCAGTACTCCAAAATTATTCGACAACCTGTCGCTATTATCACCCACTAGGTGATCAAAAGTACGCCCAATACTCCCAAATTATTCGACAACCTGCCGCTATTATCACCCACTAGGTGATCAAAAGTATGCGCAGTACTCCAAAATTATACATGAACATCACTCATGTCATTCATACATAAACATTCATGAGCATCATTCATGTCAACATTCATGAGCATCATTTATGTCAACATTCATGAGCATCACTCATGTCAACATCTATGAGCATCACTCATGTCAATCAACATAAACATTCATGAGCATCACTCATGTCAATCTAGCTTCAAAGCTTCACTTGCAAAGCTTCACCTACAAAATTTTAGTGCAGGGTATACAAATACCGCCTCCGAACAACCACCACTTCGGCCCATACATGGATTCAATTTGAAGTCTCCAGCCAACAGACTCTATTGACCGCAGACTTGGGGGACTACATTATGTACCATATATTGGGCCTCAACTGGGCCTCATGAAAAATACTTGGGGGACTTAGCCCATTATTTATGTACTGAGGAGCGAACCCTTATTCTATAAAAGGGACTCCCTCACTTTCATTAGAGAACACCCATTCTTTATGTAGTGAGGAGCGAGCCCTTATTCTATAAAATGGACTCCCTCACTTTCATTAGAGAGCAGCCCATCACTTATGTATTGAGGAGCGAGCCCTTATTATATAAAAGGGACTCCCTCACCATCATTAGAGAGCATCGCCACCAGTTGAGCAACTGCCTCGCCGCCAACATCACTCCTAACCCATCACTTATGTATTGAGGAGCAAGCCCTTATTCTATAAAAGGGACTCCCTCACCATCATTAGAGAGCATCGCCGCCTACTGAGCAACCGCCTCGCCGCGAACATCAACTCTAGCCCATCACTTTTATATTGAGGAGCGAGCCCTTATTCTATAAAAGAGACTCCCTCACCTTCAACGCCACAAGCCGAGCCAACCAAGGAAACATAAGCTAGAAGCCGAGCAGCCTCGCAACATGTGCTACTTCTAGTTGAGCATCATTTTCACATTGAGCACCGCCTCATATCGAGCATTCAGTTATAGACGACATCTAGTTACTTCGGCCTACACATGGACTGAATTTCAAGTCTTCAGCTAAAAAACTCTCTTGACTGAAGACTTGAGGGACTACTGTTTATACCATACTTAGAGCCTCCGTATTTAGATCTCGTATAAATACTCGGGGGACTCAAATGTAATTATGTAATAAATGAAGGGGCAAATATGTAATAAGTGAGGAGCCCTTATTTTATAAAAGGACCCCTCACTCTCCTCATTAAGGGAGACCAATTCTTAGGCCATGGGAAGAGCTCTCTCACCCTCAGAAGCTCTCACCCTCTCATCCTCAATCCTCTCAGAGAAATACAATATCAGTGTGGACGTAGCCCAAACATTGGGGTGAACGACGATACATCTTATGTTATTTACTTTCTAGCAGATTCATGGTCGGATTTACGTTGTTCCAAGACCCCTTTGGTTTTGTACATCAACAACAGTCATAAACGAAAAATCACGATTTAGCGGTTATTTTAACTCTGATTTTGATGATTTTTTACAGCTACACTCGTTAACCCTATATGAATACAATAAACTAATTCGATCATCAATTTAAAACATTTACACAAGTGGATACCACAAGAGAAAAAGACAATGCAAGAACCCCAAAAAAATAAAAATAGACTTAGCGAGACGTAGGTGCCACTGCGTCGAGCAAAACATCTTTATGCGATGCAAGTGCATGTACGTCGCGCAAAGTTGGAGAAAAAAATGGTAAAACATTCTTTGTTTGGCTCCAAGTCATTCATTCTAGTCATTCATTCTACTCATTCAATTGTTCAAAATCAAAACTCAACTTGTTAAAAATAAGCATTGACAAAGATAATTAAAGAAAAACGTAAATACACAAAAATAAAAAAATCCAAACATAAATGTAATCAATAAATAGTTAATTAATTAATCAAATAAATACAATACCTGAAGGTGAAGATGGTGAAGGTTGAGAAAGATGGAGAATCTGAAAAAGAGAGGTTGAGTGTGAAGAAAAAGGCCCTTGTGTGTGGTTATTTTAGAAAAAAAAGTCGTCGACTTTGCACGACGCCACATACGTTGTGCAAAACATCTTTGCGCGACATAGGTTCAATTACGTCGCGCAAAGTTGTTTTGCGCAACGTAAGTACACCTGCGTCGTGCAAAGTTGGGATGGTTTGGCGCCAAAATTTTGTTCGACGCACAAAACGTCATGCAAATAGCCTTTGCGTGACGAAGGCTTGTGTCGCACAAAGCTGTTTTGCGCGAAACCAGTCTTCGTCGCGCAAAATCCTTTTGCGTGACGTTTTGTGTTTTGCGTCGCGCAAACATACTTTGAACGACGAAATTTGCTCCGTCGCGCAAGATTCCGTCGCACAAACATGTTTTTGTACTAGTGAATACATTTAAAGTATATCTTGATAATTACAATGAAAAAAAAAACTAACACAATACACTTTTAGGGGCGCGTGATGCAAAAATGCCTCTTGCACGCATGTTAGCGTGCAGCGAGGCTAGTCTTATTTAGAAATCAATAAATTAAAAAAAATCAACTAAAACAAAAATTTTAAAAAAAAATCTCTTTTAATATAACAAACACATCATGACATATGAATGTAATTGTTAATTACTTTGTTTTTCCGGATTATTATTAGATCATGCACAATGAACCCTAATTAATCATCAAGAAGTTGACAATCAATACTCTGGAAGTAAACCTGGCTTGCAGCAAGATCATAGGCAACATTGTAATGCTGCTGTGCCATAATCCCAACAACGTTCAAGTCACTGCCCTCAGGAGATACTTGTACTGCCATGCAAAACTCACCCTCACCATAATCTTTAAAAGCGCTCTATATGTCTAACCCTAACTCATCCCCACCTGCAAAGTTCAACACAACATCTGGAAACCCTATTAAATCTTGCCTTATTTTCCCCTTGTAGCACAAACCTGAAGGAACACCGGGCTTTTCCACTTTTTCCAATCTTCCATCAAGCAACTTTTGCACTTTATCTCTAAGCACAACGTGTGCACTTGTGGCTAAGAAGGTTACTATTGTTTCGGAATCGATGACTGTTCCACCCGAGCCTGATTCTGTTCTCTTGAAGATTTCTGGATCAATTTCAAGCCGTCTTTCCGCGAGGCTGATGCTCTCTAGGGTTAGATAGTAAAGTTCATTGTAGACTTCTAGTGGAGTTGAAGTGCCTTCTATCTTTGCACCATCGCCTAAGACTAATTTGTTATGAGGGTAGTTGGGATCCCTTATGCTACCGATGCAATAAGATAATTTTGACCCCATGTGGTTTGCCAAGGATATGTTTGAAGGGCCTAGACCAACTAGTCCACTAGGCTGCCCATTGTAACATCATTGTCATGGGCACAACCAAAAACAACATTCGGGACGGTGCTAATGCCTTTGTCGGACGCATCAAAGGTGAAATTTTTGGTCCCAATAAGTCCAGCTACTTTAATGCCATCAAGGTATTCGTGAGAGAATTTGCAATTGTTTGAGGGGTCACATTTGTCACTAGGGGAAATTGTGCAATATGGGGATGAGCATGGTAATGTGGTGTATGATGAGGACTTGGAAGGGTCGGACTTGTTTGTTCAAAGCACTTGGTGCAAGGAAGGCATTGAAGACACAAGAGGTTGCTCCCTGTGTCTATGGTTAAGAGCTGTGGAACTGGTGGCTCACTGTGTCTATTGAGAAATTGGCCATAAATTGTGCTCCACTGTCCTCGACAACAAGACTAGCACAGGTATTGCCGTTATTGGAAAAACCGGCTTTTGCTCCCAAGCACGCTAAGCGCGCCCTGGAGCGTTTCAATGTGCTTATAGCATGGTCTTTGATGGTTGCATTAGGATTGTAGTGTTAGAAACTTAATTGGACTAAACCATGGAAGAAAATATCGAAAATATCGCCGATATATCGTCGATATTTTTCGTTTTTTTGACTTACCGATATTTTAATGAGTATCCAATAAGTTTTCGTCAAAATATCGCGATATTATCGATAATATCGCGATATTTCTCGATATTAGCTATAATATCGCGATATTAGTCCAAAAATTCCTGAAAATTTGGAAAAATCTCAATTTTGAGCATAGAAGGGTTCGAACCCCTCTTAGTCCAAAAATTCCTGAAAATTTGGAAAAATCTCAATTTTGAGCATAGAAGAGTTCGAACCCCTCCCACTTAACTTCTTAATGCCTTAACCACTGTACCACTTATGTTGTTGTGATAATAAGCTACAATATTTATATATATGGTTTTGTTTTGAATTCTTTTTACAAGAAACAAATTTGCACATATTCCAAATTTTTTGTGGTATTATATTTTAAATTGTGTCAATTAATTACTTAGTCAATGGCATGTGGTTTTTAATTTTTCTATTTTTTATTTGGTCACTTACATGGTAGGGCTGGAAAAAATTCCGGAAAATCCCAAACCAAACCGAAAAATCCCAAACCAAAACCATCCTGAAGTTGGGGAATCCCATCTCGAAAAATACCGAAATTTTCGATATGGGATTGGTTTCCAAATCCCATTTGTTTGGTAATCCCGAAAAATACCGAAGTATTCGGTTTCCTATTGACTTTTGGGTTTTGGTTCTTGAAAACCATTGCCATGGTTGCTAACTACTCTTCAAAATACACTCACTCTACACATAGAGATGATGAAGATAGTGAAAATTTTGAACCTCATAGGAACTCTATGTGGTACTAAGCCACTCATGTATCTTACCATGCAATGTATAAAGTGTAAAATATTGTACTAATTCATTATATATAAATGATTATGGTGTGTTTAGACTTCTTTCATTAATTTCTACATATTTTCTACACTCACAATGTTTGTCAGCTCGCTATATAATCAACTTGATAATGTTAAATCCATCATGCAATGCATTTCCTTCCAATTTTTTGTGATAAACTAATAGATAATTGACTAAATAAACATCCTGCAAAGTTTCAATAAAAATTTCCAAGTTTTTCTTACAATTTCCGTGGTTTCCATGTAATTTTTATCGATATCGATATTATCCCGATATTTCCATCGATATTTCCGTGTTTTCGGACTACCGATATTTCTGATATTACCGATATTTTCTTCCTTGGACTAAACTATCATTTAGTGAAGGACTAAATGTATTTGGTAACAATACAGTTTGACATTAGTTGCAAACATGGAAAAAAACCGCTTCCAATTATTAAGGAAATATGGATAACAATTGTGGAGATAACTTATATCCCACTTATTTGATGAAACTACTGTGAACTGACAAAAAACAACTCTCCATGATAGAGGGAAGTTGGTGAATGTTAATTTATATAAGGACACCCTGCTCGTAAAGAAAAGTTATGCGTTATTGGGTTCTATTGATAGGAGTATATTTATGCGACTTAGTTGGCTTGTTCTTGTGCATTTATGTCGTGTTTCCTTAGTTATTTTAATGTTTAAAGTCATTTTTGTGTGTTTTCAGACTCTAAGTACAAAGTATGCAAGAAGATGCATTTTGGAGGCCTTTGGAGCATGTTTCGGGCTTGGAATGGATAGCAAATGCATGGGCCAAGTGGATGGACGAATTTGAGAACTAAAGAGGCCAAGAATATGAAGAATTATGGTCCAAAAGATGAAGAAAACAGCCCAAAAATCTGTCACCCCAACTTGCATTCCTTGCCATGCAAACCACATAGAATTCCCTTTGGATTCCATGCCATGCTTGATCACTCTTGTCCTCTACATAATTTCTAATTTCATGCTTCAATTCATTTAATTATTACACTCAATTGCTTGATACCTCTTGTTCCCTTCACTCATTAGATTTTAGACAACATTTACATCCATTACATGCACCAATTGATGATGCTCCATCATTCACATTTGGAATCCCATGCCTTGTGTACCACATGTTGCTGCACCTTTGACCCATTTATTGACACATTTTTCACCTCCCTTTCCATCTCTATGCAATGTACACAATCATTCATGCCCCCTAGCTACAAGACCACTCCATTTTACCCTTCACACTTTGCATCATCACTTCATTTTCACCCTTGGACCATTGCACACCACACACACAAATTGCCATGCATTTCATCCTTAACCTAACCTGATTTTCTAAGGTTTTTGGGGCCTATAAATACATGTTTACACCCCTTGGCCAAAGAAGAATCCCCCATATTCATCATTTTATAACAGAAATTCGTCCATACACACCCTAGGAAGCAAAACACCCTAAAAACACCATTCTAGTGCCTAGAAAACATAACAGCCACTCCACCTTCTTCCACCCTCTTTGCCTAGTTCTCCACCACCTTCCAACCATCAAACACTCTTCCACACTCACCCTAAACCCCTCCATATCATTCCCCATCCATTCTACACCATAAATCCACCCAAAAATCTGTCCACAAGCTTCATGCCGCAACAAGGAGGAAGGGAGATCCATTGATGCACTTGCTTTCCAAGTTGGAGCATTTTAGGTGTTTTCTTTCCTTTGATTTTAATGTCTAATTTTATGTATCTTTGTATTGCAAGAATGAGGAACTAAACCCCCTTAGTTGGGGGGTGATTCGAAACCATGTACATGCTTGCAATATGATTTGATTACATTCAGTTGTTATTTCATAAGTTGCGGATTCAATTCGTTCATCTACTTGATTGATAACTTATTTGTGTATGTTGATTGAGCGTGCACGCTTAGTTTTCATGCATGAATATGATGCTAGATTATGAGGGAGTTTCACCTAATAGTTATAATCTTATAATCACAAGTAGTGAAGGTCGCTTGAAAACGATCGCGTTGAATGAATTCTTGGCACTAGTTTCATGCTCATCATAGTAACGAATGCCTCGTCAACACTTATAGTTCTCATTGTGCTTCATGATTCTTGATTGTATCTTTATTGTGCTCATCACGTAAGGAACCTTTGAGGAATGCTTTGAATTGTTGTATGCGCTTTTCCATCCAATTCATTAACTTAAGGAGAACTTGAAGGTTAATTTAAGCGTATCTAATTAACTTGGGGTGTTGAGTTTCATAATTTATTGAAAAACAACTGAAAATCATTTTGTTTGCAAGTGTGTCATGTGTGGAGAAGAACCTCCTAATAGCCTTTTATCCATCCTTTTCATCCAAAAACGTTTTACAATCTGTTTTGTTTTAAAGTTTCTGTTTTGTTTTCAATTTTCGTCCAAAACAAATCCCCCTTTATTTTGAAGTCTTAGATTAGTTAGAAAGTGTTTTGATTTGTGTTTTTCTAAGTGTTTTGATTCAAGTTTTCATCCAACTTCGTCCAAGTTCTTGTTAGGTTCTCAAAACTGCCCAGAAAGTGGTTTTTAGGCAGTTTTGAGTCATTAGGTTGTTGTTTTGAGTTTTATGTTTGTTTAAGTATTTTAAAGTATAGTTTTGCATTCTTTGAGTCTAGTTTAGTGTTTTAAATTTTGTTTTTATGTTTTTAAGTCAGTTTTCAAGTGTTTAGCAATCCCTCCTAATCCCCGGCCTAGAACGATCCCTACTTACATACTTTACTACATTTGATAAAAAGAGGGTTTAATTTTGTGTGTTAACTTATTTTTCACATCATCTATCAACAAGTAGAAGATATCATTTTCTTGTTTTGCAATGGCTACCTCAGGTATCATGTTAACATCTGTTAGTAATCTAGGAAACTTGTTAATATTATATACTACTAGTTTTCTAACATTTGGTATTAGAGCCAAATTAACAAATCCTAGATTCGAATGTATGTGTCAAACTGCATATGTTTTCAGCATGTGAATTTTGTATGAAATGTGTTGAACCAAAGCACATAACAGCATCGACAGTAGCACTCATGCTTTTCATTATTCCATCCAACAACACATGACAGCACCGATACTTTCAATAAAATGCATGAGGTAGTCTTGCCTCAGAAGTTTTTTAATGTCATGCATCACTTACGATAATATTTTGAATTCACCAAAGTGAATGATTTGGATGTATATTCTGGCAAAGAAGGGTTTAAAGATTCATTGCATGTTCATACTCTTTTCCAAAGGAAAGAGTATATAAAATGCCTAAGGTTTCAATGAATCATTCCTTGTATAATCTTGTAATTATCTTGTCCAAAGACTTGATATATCTGTGATAAAAGATGATTGAAGTGGTCAGAATGTACATGATGACTTTGAAGGGGTGTTTATATTTCTAACCAAAAGGGGATATATGAACATGTGTAAGTGATGCATGAAATTAAAATTGTATTTATTGTTTTATTTGGCTACCTCAGCAACATCATCTACACTTAGCCTTTC